CTATAAATGATAATCTACCTTAACCAAAATCAAAGTAGACTATCACTCACCCACACCAGATGGAAAACTCTACAGACTGTCGATATATATATATATTTTCTTTTTCGAACTGCCTTCCACCATAGTTCCTTACCATCTAACATTCTTCACGTTGTTGTTCATTTTTTGTACACATGAAACATAGTTCAATTTGTGCTCTTCATTCACTGCCTTTTTTTTAGGAAGATAGGTGCTCCTCTGACATGGGTTTCAAGATTGGAACAGGGGCCTGGGTCAGGGGATCAAGATGGGGACATGAGAATTCGGGTTTCAACTTGGGACGGGCCACCTCAAACTTGAGAGTGGGACCTTGAACTTGTAGCTCAAACTCGGAATTCGGGCTCTGACCTTGGACTCTAACCCTGGACTATCACCGTTGAGTACGAAAGTGGGACTCTAGGCGTAGAATCTGACACTGGACTCTGAGCCTGGACTCGACTCTACGCTTCGACTGGACTTGGCTCTGAGCTTGCCCTGTGGACTCTGAAGTTGGACCTAGGACTTTGAACTTGGACTCTGAACTTGGGCTCGGAACTTGGGCTCTGACCTTAGACTCTAACCCTGGACTCTCACCTTAGACTCTAACCACTCTGGGCGTAGACTCTGATCCTAGACTGGGACCCTGGACTCTGAGCTTGGAGCTTGGACAGGACTGGACTTTGAGCCTGGACTGTGGACTCTGAAGTTGGATCCAGGACTCTGAACTTGGACTGTGGACTCTGAGGGCGTGGGGACTGAAACTTGGGGTTCTCACTCGGGATTGTTATTTGCGATTGTCACTTGGGAATGTCAATTGGGATTATAGAAAGGACTGTGATTAGGGATTACAGAAAGGACTGTGAATTGGGACTGAATTGGGACTGTGAATTCGGACTGTGACTGGGAACCTTTACTTGGGACTGTGACTTGGGATGGTGGCTTATGGAACCAGGACTCAGATTTGTCTTTTAATCGTTTGTTGTTTCTTCATTTCGTATTGCACGGAACCTTTTGTAGTTCATCTGTTGAAAGCTTTATTTTGTAATAAGCAATTTTTGTGGTAATAACCTTTTCATATTGTACGGAATTAAAATTGGTACTAACCAATTTTTCATGTTTCGTGGCGTGTTTTTTTAGTTTTCCCATAGAAGTTCAGTCACTCAGAATCAAGTACCGATCACCGAACCAATCAAGTACCGAACCAATCACCCGAACCAATCAAGTACCCAGGCAATCAAGTAGCGAACCAATCAGCGAGCGCGGATGGAAGAACCGATCCGATCACTCATTAGATCACCGATAGGAGCACCGAAGGAGTCAAGTTGGTAACCAAGAACCGATAGGACCACCGAACCAAGCAACAAATGGTAGAACAATGGTCTCCAAAACCAGAGAGAGAGAGAGAGAGAGAGAGAGAGAGAGAGAGAGAGAGAGAGAGAGAGAGAGAGAGAGAGAGAG